CGCGGCCCGCGGGGATTAGTTCGCGGCTGCATGCCGCCACACGCGTCGGGCTGGGCTGGGCCGGGTAGAAACAGCGCCTCGGGCGCGCGGGGGAGGGAGGAGGGAGCGCGCGGAGGCGGGGCGGGCGACCCGGGGCTGGGCTGGGGGTGGCTGCGGTGGCCCCTGACTTGGGGGCCCAGGGGATGCAAGCGGGGGTCCTAGTGAAACGGAAAAGGCCCCGGCTTTCTGAGCTCTTTCTGCTGTGGGGCACTTGGAGCCTGACTCCCCCAGAAGCCTCAGGACCCAAGGCTAAAAGGTATATGGGTACCCCTCCTCCTCCACTGTCAACTGAGAATCGTACAAGTCCAAGGAGCCGGGGCAATGAAGTCCCCACAGTGTCCCGTCCAGGCAGCTGAGAGGAGGAGAGAGAGATACCCAGCTAGGCCCATCCCAGAGGCAGGGCTCCCGACTTTCCCGAAAGACCTGAGCCGAGACCTGAGATATCAGGCCAGGAGGTGGATGTAAGCAGAAGTGAGTGACATAACCTCCTGCCATCCCCAGCCCAAGCCACTCTGGGACCCTGGGACACCCAAAAGTCAGAGAAAGGACAGGGTTGCTCCGAGCTATGCGGGGGAAGAGGGGATGACAGGACTGTGGGGCCTGCCAGACAGGAGCCATCGCACACAGGCACACACACACCCAGCTCCTCTGATTCAGCGATAGTTTTTCTGGGGCTGCGAGGATGACACAGAGGCTGGTGGTGTACCCTGCCAGAAGAGCCTCTGCAGAAATACAGATGTTTGACCTGCCCAGGCTTCCCCAACCCCTCCTCATTCTGATTCTGGGTTCTTTCTCACCAACTCTCCATCCTAAATGTGGTTTACCAAGTAGGGGGTAAATAGAGGCAGGTGACAGATATGGATATCTGAGAGATAAGTGGTGTCAGTGGTAGGGCAGGATGACCCAGGAGTCCAGTTGTCAAGCATGAAACCTGCCACACAGCCTAACCTGGAGCCACATCTGTCCCCAGCTGTCTGCCTGCGTGGCCTCTCTTGGACCAGAGAGCAGCGTGGTGGTAGATGGGCACACGGAAGGGCTGCCAGCTTGAGGATGGCTGGGAATAGATTTGGTGAAGTGGGTTAAGGATGACTGGGAATAGATGTGGGAGTGAAAGTGCTGCATGGAGTGGACAGGGGTTAGGGGACGCTACCTCTGCTGAAGATCGGACTCTCGTAGGGGATCTTGTTGCGAGTCTCGAGGCTAGAGCAGTTCCAGCGCTGATCCCGGAACTGGTGTTGGCATTCGTGGATGGCGATCTGAATGCCCTGGATGGCTGAGGCGGCCACGTCAGGGTGACGCACACACACCTCCATCTGCCGCCGGCTCAGGCCCGGCAACGTCAGGCAGACCGTGTTGGCGTTGAGCACGGGCTCCGGGGGGAGGCGGAGGCCCAGGATGTCGTTGGGTGCTGACCTGCAGGCATGTGGGGTGGGGGTGTGGGGGTGGGGAAGTGTTTTGGGGGGACCTTCTAGCAACACACACTCTGTCCCAAAGGCCGTAATCACTTTCTGTTCCAACCCCATCAGTACACTCCTAAACATTCTTTCCTTGACCTCCTCACCATCACCCCATTAACACAACTCACCCAGCTGCACACCCACACAGGTAAACGTGCACATGCGCACACACCACTATGCCTCTACACACAGTATTTTATACATACATCCCCAGACACAGATGCCTGCATACACCATATACACGGGGACCCCAGGAGTTGACTCCCAGAGGCATGCTTCAGACGCTCACATTCATGAAGATACACTTCTGCGTACATTGTGGTGGACACACAAACCTAGAAACACTTACACACATACACACTTCATCAGACATGGTTACAGACAGTCACAATCAGCGGTTCACATTTACAGACATGTTCATCTTAACATACATTGACCCCTGAGGTCTACATTCACACACGGGAACTCACACATGTTAACCAGCAGCCTGTTGGAATCATGGGCTCACTTGATCTTACAGACAGACACACACACACACACACACACACACACACACACACAGCTGTTCCAGCTGCAGTCTCACTGCCTCCACCTGGGCTCTCCCTCCCCCAGTCCCCTCACCTCCAGCTCTGCCTAAGGGTGATCTGCAAGGTTGAGCGAGGCAGCTGGAACTTACTCCCCGGGGTTGGGGTGTGGGTGCGTTCCCCCCACAGGGCCGGGCCTCCAGGCTGGCACTTGTACCCCCCACGTACACCTCCTTCCCAGTTGACATCGTGCTCCTGAGCACTGCCCTGTCTCCCTGGACTGCCCATATCCTGTCACCAGTGCGACTCCCTCCTATGAGGGAGCTCAGAGTCTCAGCTCAGACACAGCTCCTGCCTGTGACCCTGTCCCTCTGGGCTTCCAGGGTCCACTGCCCCAGCAGGAGCACCGGAGGCCCCTGCAGCCCCCCCAGGGTCCCAAGTCTCTAAAAGGGCGGAGCATGAGGTGAGGGCTCACCTGGGCACAGCAGCAGCCAGCAGCAGTAGGAAGAACAGGAGCACCCAGAGCGCGGGCCGCGGCTGGGGCCGGGGTCGGAGCCGCAGCCAGGGGTGAGGGTGGGCGCTGCCCATGGCGCGCGGGCCGTGAGGGGCTGGGAATGGGGGGCTCACAGCCCGGTGGGACTGGCGAGCCAGGGGCGGCCCCGCATGATCGGCGGGGGTCGGGGCGGCTGCGACACACAGCTCCGACTCAGGTCAGGGCTCCCGGAGCAGACGGCGCCCGCCTCCCTGCTCCATGGGGCAGCGCCCCCGGGCACCGCCCTCGGGGGGGGGGGG